TTTTTTTTTTTTTTTTTTTTTGTATATTGATGAATAGAAAAAAAATAAAAATAAAAATACATTAAATTTAAACTAAATTTATGTAAAATAAAATTTAGAGAACTCCTCCATTTATAAATGTTAAATTAAATTTAGTTTTCCATCCAGTTAATCTATGAACAATCACATTGTTTTTTTTTAGAATTATTTTTACAATACATCTATTAATCATAAATTAAAAACTCTGACAATAATATATACGTGTTTATTCCATAAACAATCATATTGTCCGTGTTCATAAATGATAAAGATGACAATTATATAATTCGACTTAAAAAAAAATTAAACTCATCCTTTTAATATAAACGTAATCTCACTTCTAAAACAAAAATTTCTCCACACAAAAATTTTTCTCTTTCAAACAAGTTCACAAATCTCCCTTTTGATCCACCAACTGCATTCAGCATATCAATCTTTAATAAAAGTTTAGGATGATGTATCAAAATGTTCATGAATTTATTACCATATTTTTTTTATTAGCTCGTAATCGTGAGGCTGGATCATCTCAAGTCATTGAACTTCCCTCCGAAAGTGGTGGATAAGTGTCTAATCTCACCTCCCCTGCCAAAACTATAAATTCCGACCCATTGTTTCTAAATGTGGGAAAAAATATTTATAAAAAAGTGGATAATATTTAGAAAGAGAAATGATTATCATGTACTATTGTTTAACATTCCTTAAACAAATAAACGCAAAGGGTAACTAACAATGTATTTAGAAGCCAGTTTGCATCCATGCAAACAAAAAATTCATACATTCTAATGAACTAAATTAAAAATAAATAAAAAAATTATCGCTTTCATTCAACTTAGTTTTGTAAATTTTCAAAATACTCTTATAAGTTGTTATTAATATGAAGTTATTATTCAAAATATAAGTTGTTATTAAGTTTTTTTATTTGTTTTAATTTTAATTTTTAAATTCTGTCTCAAAACACCATCGATAATTTCACAATACAAACATAAACACGCGCTTCATCAATTAAACTGAATTTACTAGTAGATTTTAAATTACTAACACAGGGTATAATATTTTATGCATTTTTGGTCCAAAGTGTGAAAATGATGTTGGCAACTCCAGTGTGTGTATCAATATATACGTACATATATATATATATATTTGTATATATATATATGTTAAATTATTAATATATTTTAAAAATATTATATTTAATATTAAATCCACTGATGATTATTTTTAATATTTATATTTTATTCTTTATATATAATAATAATTATTATTATTTAAAAAAATTATTCTCACTAATCTAAGATCTTGACTAGATTTGTATATTTATAAATATATAAAGATCACTACCTAAAGAGAAAACTTGTATATGGTTGAAATCCCTAATGTGTTGGGTTCGATGTTTCGAAAATGATTTCACATCTTTAATGTAATTTTTAGAAGTTAATAGTTATAACTTTCCCATTTCATAATATAATTCATTCATTCTCAATGAGTTTTCAAACATATTATTTGACCATGGTTTATGTGGCAAAAGAGTGAGCCTTTATCTGGGATTTGACCCTATGTCTAATTTGTAACGATTAATACAAAAAAATAAAAAGATTGAGGATAAAAGTGACAATATTTTTAATGAATAAAGACTAGCCGATTAATTATAAGCAAAAAAAAAAAAAAAGGCTATCTGATTCACAAAAAACAAAATATAGTTGTGCTGTGAAGTGTGAACAGGCAAAAAAAACAAATAATAGTGGAACAGTTAAATTCTATTATTATTTATACATAGGTGGATAAAACAACCACTTTCATGCAAGTGGGATCTTTCACATGATAATTTAATCATAAAGAAATTTAAAATATTCAATAAATTAATCTAGACATACGCTAACAACTTTTGTTTTAAAAACAATAAAATTGACCAATCGAAAAGTGAGCTTAAAAAACAGTACTAAGAAATTCTATTATTACTTAAAAAACAGTGCTAATAGCAATCGAAAATGCACTTGAAGACAAAGTAGAAGACTAACAAAAAGAAAAAAAAATATAGAGAAGAGGGAGGGTTTGAGGAGGACCACCACCACGTTTGCATTGTAAGTTAAAACACCTGAAGACCATGGCACCAGTTGCTATAGCTGGATTGAAAACCAACCCCCAGCCGTCCTTGCAGTGCAGAAACATCTCCATAAACCACAAATATCATAAATGTAAGAATTAAGGAAACTATTACTGTATATTATAAAACAAAATCAGATCCAACATCATAAGAACAATTAATATTGTTTTAAGATCATAAATGAAGTTTTATCTCACTTACACATGTTGATATTTAATAAAATCTCTCATATATGTTATAAAGATGAACTCTCAATTTTAATTATATAATAACACCAACAATCCTTATAAGAAAACAACACCAATATTATTTATGACACTATATTATCTTAACAACACCGATAATACTCATGATGTCGCATTAATAGAATAACATGGAGGGTATTTATGATAGTGCATGTAAATTTTATATTATATTATATTAATATTAATATTATTATTTTATTTAGGAGAGTGTGTGTGAGTAAGAGAAGTTTGGTTTTTTAAAGTGGTATAGACATAGAGATAGACATATGATATAACTAAGAATTCCCAGACACCTCCTTTTGGGTCCCTCACTTTGTGTCCTTATCTCCTACCTTTTTGTCCTTGTTCCTTTCCGGTCTGGTCCTCCTTCCCCACTTTTATAGCCTACCCCCCCACTTCACTCACTCATGTCTTCTACTACTTCTTCTTCGTCGTCATCATCAACTTCAACCCCATATGACGCTGTTGCTGCTGATGTCCCTGGCCCTAGTACAAGGAGGACCGGTCAATTTGAAGCAGCAGGCCCTTCTTCCTCTCGCCAACGTGCCATGAATGAGGTCTTGCCTGAGCCTATTCTCGAAGCCTTGGCCACACAAGTTGCTGTTGATGCTGCTCAAAACAATGGTCGTCTTTCTGCTGCTTCTGCCCTTGCCATTTTGTTTCAGGTCCTTCTTTTCTTTCCTCATTTTTATTCCTATTTGTCCCCATTTATTGTCTTTTGATGTATGAGCAGTGCTGAGAAAAAAAAAGTTTGATGATTGATCATGTTGGTTGTGCTTGCCTTGCTAAATCTCATGGAGGATTCTTAGTTTGCTTGAAATGAAGATTTGTAGAATCTCCAGCATGTGTAACTGATAGCTTTTTCAGTTCCGAAATGGACAAAATATTGGTCAAGTCAAACATGAAGCTAGCATTGCAACCTGCAGATGCTGATTCTTTTTTTTTTTAGTAAATAAATATCAGCATTATGATTTAACTTAATTATATATATTATTTTATATTGTGTGTGTTCTTTAAACTTTAGAGGCATGTATACATTGAACTCAATGGATAAGGGGTGATGAGTGCCGATTTAGGTTTTGGTTTTAGATGCTTTCAAGCATCCTAGAAGAAACTGTTCCAAGAAAGCAGTAGCAGCTACTTTACGTGGGTCTTTTTCAAACTAAATGTGTGTCCCTTTCAAAAAAGGGTGTGTTTTTCTTCTTGCCAATGTTTGTTCTTTCTTCCCCTTCAAAAATGTCTAGTTTTGGACCTCCTTTTCACAACCAATGAAAAGGCTTATATTGGCTTCGTGCTTGCTGTTTCCCTTTCTTGGCATGAATCCTTTTTGACTCAACTTTTTCCTGCTATCTATGCTAGAAGATCCAATATTGCATGCCTTTCTATCTCCAAATATGCAGATACTACCTTTTTATATATATTTTTTTTGACAGCATACTACCTTTTTATATTGTTCAATAAGGAGTTGCTTTCTCAAATAACCTAAGGAGGGAAGCATATATAGTTATTTATGTCTCATTTCTAGCGTCCTTGAAAGTGTAGCATTTCTATATGTAGTTAGAGATCGAAAATATTGCAACTTTTTATCCAGCTAGTTTCAGGTTGGTTGCATAAATATTTTTCGAAAGCACACCGTGTGCTTTTCTATATATATATAAGA